TCACTGCTCTCTGGGCGAAGACTGTATGAGCTGAAGGCTAATATGGAGTAAGTTATGGACATTATGAACTTTGATATTACTAATGGCACCACTGTTAAAGGAAAATCTGAGATCAGTTAAACTTAGCAGAGTTTAATTAAGCAAGGAACAGGTTCTACAACAGGGCAGTATTCTCCCAAAAGTTGGTAAGAATATTCCGTCCAACTACATGTGCAGCTTACATTTATAGCCAGAGAAAAGGAAGTGACATACATACCAAGGAAGTGATATACAACACTAACCTGATTGGCTGCAGTTGGCATTTGCATTATATATCATGGTTGGATCAGCTGTCAGCTTAAGGTTAATTGAAGTTTGCCTGCTGTGATTGGCTGAAGCTCAGTAGCTAGGTTACCAGTATGTGTGTGTATGTGTGTGTGTGTAGGTTAGGTTATTGTTTATCAAGGGAGGTTGAAATACAACATATAGGAAGACTGCTTTGAGTTAAATTTATCACCCAAGTATGGAGGCCTGCTTGGGCCAATTTAGTTTAGCTTAAAACTGTGTTATGTGTTTCTAGTGTGACCCATCATTTCATAAGGATAAAGTGGGAAATAAGTTTATCAACATTCTTGCATAGTCCCTTTATGGTACATTTTCTGTCTTTAGAAACATTCTTTCTTTGGGGACCAGCAGTTGGCATAATGACTGTGTCGCTGGACTCCCATGTAGTCGACTGCGGTTCGTGTCCCGGACCTGGTGGCTTAAAACTCACGTCGGGCGCATGTGCATGCATGCCCAAGATCCCAAGAGAGAATGAAGGAGAAGAGATTGCGGCGTGGCTATCCTCCCTTGGGGGTGATTTCTCGCTTTCTGTCTCTCTGTCTCTCTCTGTCTGTCTGGCGAGCACACGCACCCTATAGCAAATACCTCCCCCTCCCCCCCAAAAAAAAGAAAGAAAAAAGAAAAAGAAACATTCCTTCTTTCAAAATATTAACTTATGAAAATGGACCAAGGTGTTTGGAGTTTGTCCATTTTGAGAAATCAGAAGCCCCTTAAAGAACCATTATAAAAGCAAATAAGTTTCTGCTGAAGCATAGCTGAGTTTTTATTAGGTAGTTTAAATCTCTTAAAGAAAGGAAGCAAAACTGCAAACTTAAGCAAAGACATTTACCAATATTTACATCAAGAACTTTGGGGGGACCAGCAGTTAGCGCAATGGCTATGTCGCTGGACTCCCATCCTGGTTCAAGTCCCGGACCCGGTGGCTTAAACTCACACTGGGTGCGTGTGCGTGCGTGCCCAAGATCCCAAGAGGAGAATGGAGGAGAAGGGGTTGTGGCTTGGCCATCTCCCCTGGGGGTGACTTCTCACTTCCTATCTCTCTGTCTCTCTCTATCTTTCCAGCAAGTGCACATGCCCTATAGCAAAAACCTCTTAAAAAAAAAAAAAGAAATTTTTCAGATTATGTAGATGTATGTCTTAAAGAGATTTTTGACAATTTCGATTCTATCTTAAGTATGAGAATTATGACTGATGGAAGTAAAAAATAGAAACACTTCGGATTTGTGAGTTTTCAGAATTTTGAAGATACTCCAAAAAGACATAGATGAATGTAAAATTAATTAATGGGAATCAAGTTTCTGTTGGTAGAGCACAGAAAAAAAGAAAAGACAATCTGAATTAAAATACAAATTTAAGCAAACAAAGCAGAATAAGCTAACCAGGTGCAAAGGTGCTAATCTTTAGGTGTCAAGTCATTTTTTAAAGTTATTTATTCAATAAGAGAGTGAAGTGGAAAGTGAAAAGGAAAAGTAAAGCAAGTCAGGAAAAGAAAGGACTGTGGGAGATTTTCGTTTCCCTGACAGGAGAGTGATTTTCTTGAATTCAAGCAACCCTCAGAGTAGTTAAGGTGCTGCCTTGGGCTCCTAATGCAGAGGAACCAAGGTTCTTCCTTGCTGTAGCTGGTGTACCAGCCACACCATCAAAGGCTGCCCTGCCCATACGGCTCTCTCCCCTAGATGTCTTGCACCTATGCACTGAGTATGGAACCATAAACTGGGTCACAATCCAGTAAATGAATTTCTTCAGGGTGATGGTCATGATTTGGTGTTCCGTAGAGCTGAAAGTTTCAGCTTCTCTTGTACTCTGGCTGTGCTCCCTATAGGACAGTCTTTACAGCCTACCAGAGTTGTCAGTCAGGACCTTCACCCTGACTGATTCTGTCCCCACTAAGAGAGATTGAGTCCTGATGCCAGGTCAGAATCTTATTCTAGAGTTTTTAAGAGCTAGCATAAAATGAAAGTTCTGCATCTTGGCCACCAAATATCACTTTGAGTCAAAGACCTGCACCCAAAGCAAACAAGGCAATGGTGTATGAGAATTTCAGCATCTCTGGACTTATCCTGTCCATTCAGGTCGGCTATGACTTGATCACTCACTGCTCTCTGGGCGAAGACTGTATGAGCTGAAGGCTAATATGGAGTAAGTTATGGACATTATGAACTTTGATATTACTAATGGCACCACTGTTAAAGGAAAATCTGAGATCAGTTAAACTTAGCAGAGTTTAATTAAGCAAGGAACAGGTTCTACAACAGGGCAGTATTCTGACAAAAGTTGGTAAGAATATTCCGTCCAACTACATGTGCAGCTTACATTTATAGCCAGAGAAAAGGAAGTGACATACATACCAAGGAAGTGATATACAACACTAACCTGATTGGCTGCAGTTGGCATTTGCATTATATATCATGGTTGGATCAGCTGTCAGCTTAAGGTTAATTGAAGTTTGCCTGCTGTGATTGGCTGAAGCTCAGTAGCTAGGTTACCAGTATGTGTGTGTATGTGTGTGTGTGTAGGTTAGGTTATTGTTTATCAAGGGAGGTTGAAATACAACATATAGGAAGACTGCTTTGAGTTAAATTTATCACCCAAGTATGGAGGCCTGCTTGGGCCAATTTAGTTTAGCTTAAAACTGTGTTATGTGTTTCTAGTGTGACCCATCATTTCATAAGGATAAAGTGGGAAATAAGTTTATCAACATTCTTGCATAGTCCCTTTATGGTACATTTTCTGTCTTTAGAAACATTCTTTCTTTGGGGACCAGCAGTTGGCATAATGACTGTGTCGCTGGACTCCCATGTAGTCGACTGCGGTTCGTGTCCCGGACCTGGTGGCTTAAAACTCACGTCGGGCGCATGTGCATGCATGCCCAAGATCCCAAGAGAGAATGAAGGAGAAGAGATTGCGGCGTGGCTATCCTCCCTTGGGGGTGATTTCTCGCTTTCTGTCTCTCTGTCTCTCTCTGTCTGTCTGGCGAGCACACGCACCCTATAGCAAATACCTCCCCCTCCCCCCCAAAAAAAAGAAAGAAAAAAGAAAAAGAAACATTCCTTCTTTCAAAATATTAACTTATGAAAATGGACCAAGGTGTTTGGAGTTTGTCCATTTTGAGAAATCAGAAGCCCCTTAAAGAACCATTATAAAAGCAAATAAGTTTCTGCTGAAGGATAGCTGAGTTTTTATTAGGTAGTTTAAATCTCTTAAAGAAAGGAAGCAAAACTGCAAACTTAAGCAAAGACATTTACCAATATTTACATCAAGAACTTTGGGGGGACCAGCAGTTAGCGCAATGGCTATGTCGCTGGACTCCCATGTAATCAACCACGGTTTGAGTCCCAGACATGGTGGCTTAAACTCACGCTGGGTGCGTGTCCTTACATGCCCAAGATCCTGAGAGGAGAATGGAGGAGAAGGGATTGCAGTGTGGCCATCCCCCCTAGGGGGTGATTTCTCACTTTCTGTCTCTCTGTCTGTCTGGCGCTCTATAGCAAAAACCTCTTAAAAAAAAAAAAAGAAATTTTGGAGATTATGTAGATGTATGTCTTAAAGAGATTTTTGACAATTTCGATTCTATCTTAAGTATGAGAATTATGACTGATGGAAGTAAAAAATAGAAACACTTCGGATTTGTGAGTTTTCAGAATTTTGAAGATACTCCAAAAAGACATAGATGAATGTAAAAGTAATTAATGGGAATCAAGTTTCTGTTGGTAGAGCACAGAAAAAAAGAAAAGACAATCTGAATTAAAATACAAATTTAAGCAAACAAAGCAGAATAAGCTAACCAGGTGCAAAGGTGCTAATCTTTAGGTGTCAAGTCATTTTTTAAAGTTATTTATTCAAAAATGAAAGACACACACACACACACAGTGAAAAGGAGGGAGTGAGGGAGGGCAAGAGGGAAATATGCACCCTTAGCAGGGTCTGATGCTACAAACCTCCCCTCAGCCTTCCCAGCCAACCAGGAGCACAGGAACATGCACAGATGCTCAGTATGTTCAAGTCAACCCAGGAACTGAACTCTGATCTTCCATGTTGCTTCCAGCATCTCAGAGTATTGAGCTACTGTTGCACCTCTGCAGCTGGGTCATGAAAAATCTTGAAGATGATATTGATGATAAAGGCTGAGAAGAAAATTCTCACTCTATAATATAATCACTAGAGCCTACCATGATGGCGACCAGCTGCAGCGAGGACTTTGGCTTCATATGTTTTACATTTACAAAAAAAACTAACGAAGTCATTGTAGATATGAAAGAAAGAATTTTTTTTTTCATCAAAGTACTGTATGTTACTAGTTCATGAAGCAGAGAGGAATGCAAGCTTTTTCCTCTCCAAGATCTATGGGAAAAGAATGGTGTCTATAGGAGCTGGAAGTATTCTAAGTGGCAACAATATTATAGAATAACTTCATGCCAAATCTTTCTTTACCTAGACATGGGAGCGCACATCTTTACAAGTCTGTGGTCAGGGTCAAACCTCTTTTATCTCAGAATATATTGTGTGCCATCTACTCAGCAGCAGGAGCAACTGGGCCATTAGCACCTTCAAACCACTGAAAGTTCCACCAGTTAAATGAGTACATAAGATACAACGAAACAGATCATGACTAATCACCCTAAAACTTCTGCTTCAGAACGATGTCTAGTTTTTATTTTTTTTTTTCCTTTTTTTCTACTGTCAGATCCTTCCTAGGTCCCATGGAGCATAGTGTCTTCCTTAGGTGGTGGTGGGTGAATGTGCTCTCGCTCTCTTCTCAGGCAATGCCATGGCTCTCTATGAGCAGAAAGCCCCTAAAGTAAAGCAGAGGAAGTAGAACTATGTCTAAATCAATGATTCAAAAGAGTTTGTGTTGAAGGTGTTCACAATCTTCTAAAATTTAAATTACAATGACCAACATCCATTCGGAAGCCAGAAGCCTGTTTGTGTCTATATAAAGGGTTATAGTAGTGCAAATGTATCTATGTTGACGTTAGCTATTATTTAGAAGATTTTAGGTGAAAAATCTGGTTCCTTTTGTTCAATCCATTCACCCAAATGTGACTGGAGAAAAGTCTGGCATACTGTTGATGATGGATGGCACTAAAATTCTTTTTATGCTCAAATATCCTGAGTTTCTCTGTGCCAAGTTTTATGAAGTCATCCTTACTCTACAAGCCAACCAAGCTAAGATGCTAAGAAAATTCTCTGTATTCATAAGATTTCCAAGCCTTGGAAAAGGTAAACATTAGAGAAAATTAAGAAAATAAATTTTTTTCTATATGTCACATGTGCTCACTGGAGAAAGAGAAGGAAAGTGAGAAATCTCTCCCCAGGGTTGTTCATGCCACAATCCTTTATCCCCCATTATCCTCTTGGGATTTGAGGCACAAATCCACACACACTCAGGATGTTTTAAAAGCCACCAGGCCCAAGACTAGAACCATGGGGTCGGTCATGTAAGAATCCAGTCTCTTAACCACCACAACACCTGCTGGCTTATGAGAATAAGAATTTTTTTTAAGAGAATTTTGCTATAGGGTGCGTGCCCTTGCCAGAAAGACAGAGAGAGACAGAGACAGAAAGCAAGAAATCACCCCCCAGGGGTATGGCCATGCCACAATTCGTTCTTCTCCATTCTCCTCTTGGGATCTTGGGCACACATGCACACGCTCCCAGCATGAGTTTAAGCCACTGTCCATTGGGAAGCCAGAAGCCTGTTTGTGTCTATATAAAGGGTTATAGTAGTGCAAATGTATCTATGTTGACGTTAGCTATTATTTAGAAGATTTTAGGTGAAAAATCTGGTTCCTTTTGTTCAATCCATTCACCCAAATGTGACTGGAGAAAAGTCTGGCATACTGTTGATGATGGATGGCACTAAAATTCTTTTTATGCTCAAATATCCTGAGTTTCTCTGTGCCAAGTTTTATGAAGTCATCCTTACTCTACAAGCCAATCAAGCTAAGATGCTAAGAAAATTCTCTTTATTCATAAGATTTCCAAGCCTTGGAAAAGGTAAACATTAGAGAAAATTAAGAAAATAAATTTTTTTCTATATGTCACATGTGCTCACTGGAGAAAGAGAAGGAAAGTGAGAAATCTCTCCCCAGGGTTGTTCATGCCACAATCCTTTATCCCCCATTATCCTCTTGGGATTTGAGGCACAAATCCACACACACTCAGGATGTTTTAAAAGCCACCAGGCCCAAGACTAGAACCATGGGGTCGGTCATGTAAGAATCCAGTCTCTTAACCACCACAACACCTGCTGGCTTATGAGAATAAGAATTTTTTTTAAGAGAATTTTGCTATAGGGTGCGTGCCCTTGCCAGAAAGACAGAGAGAGACAGAGACAGAAAGCAAGAAATCACCCCCCAGGGGTATGGCCATGCCACAATTCGTTCTTCTCCATTCTCCTCTTGGGATCTTGGGCACACATGCACACGCTCCGAATGAGTTAAGCCCGCTGGGCCCGGGCCCCCAGCCACAGTCGATTATATGGGAGTCCAGCGACATAGCCATTATACCAACTGCTGGTCCCAAGAATAAGAAATTTTTAAAAAGTAAAATAAATTTATACTTTACCAAGCAAATGTCAAGTTTAATTGCTAATATTTGATTAGTTATCATTGAAAAATGAATATAGAATATAAGAAAAGGTAAATAGTAAGAAAAAAGAAAAAAAATCTAGCACATAACACCTTGAAAGATGGAGTGAAATTAAGGCAAATTTACACACAAGACAATAATAAAATCTTTTTTTTTTTTTT